ATGAAATGACCTTCATTACCTGTACAGCTACCATGTTTTCTCACCTCTGAGAGGGCAGCCATCTCAACTTTCAGAAGCTTCATTTCCTTTCACAGAAGCAGCTATTGATCCTCCTGTAATAAAGAGTGGCTGTTCTATGCCCCCCCCCCCCCCCACCAGATGGCTCAGATGAGTATCCTTCGGCAGTCATTGGATGGATGCTGTCCCTGCCACCTTCCTTAGTAATGCATACAAGGTTCCAAGAGGTTTTACACCACACACCTTAGGCTAAGTTGGCACCTACCTAACCATGTCCCAAGGGTCCCTACAGGATCCCATTGCCCACTTTGCTTGCTAGGCAGGGCAGACGTCAACCCTCCCCCCATTAACCCTAGGGCTTGGGGGAAGAGGAGTTGAACAAAGCCAGGGCATAACTATCACTATCAAATACCTGAAGCTTATCATAGGTTCTACAAGCCACAATAAAATAATGAATAAATAAATATATAAATAGATAAAACAAAGAAATATATAAATAGATAAAACAAAGAAATATACAAATATATAAAATAAAAAGGGAGACAACCATTTGTACAAAAATCTTTTGCAAAGCAAATACTGTTTATTAGTAGCAAAAATCAAAACAAATGAAAAGCCATCACAAGCATTTGAGAGACACTAAACCAATTAATGAAAAGGTAAGAATCTTTACATAAATGTATAGAAAATTATGCACTCAGCAAATTTTAAAATCCAATTTTACTCAAATCAATGTTAGAGCCAAAAATATTATCAATAATTAGCAAAAATTTGTACGGAAGTGGGAGAATGAAAAATTGAAATTTATATGAGAATAAAAAAATCTAAAATAAAAATCAAGAGTGAACACACTAGTATCTAAGATCTAACTGAAGAAAATGTAGCCTTCTCTATGTATAACTGTAGTGTATCTTTGAAAAACTTTCAATATAATTACAGAAAAAGTGTTGGAGATAGACTAAAAGACTAAAAAAAAAAAAACAATTCAACAAAGATCTTTCATATGACTGATTAATACACACAACAAAAATGAGCTTGAAATACCAATACCAACTTCATAATAAACTCACAAGAGAAAAACATACACACCATCACAAATAGAGCCTGATAAGAAAAAAAGGAGAGGGACTTCCAGACTTCTATACCCACAGGTTTGGTCCATGACCTGCGAAAGTCTCTTAACACAAACACTACACTGTAATTGCATTACAGAGGTCCTCATGAGGAGACTACAGACAATATAACCTAGGTGTGCACATGGTAAAAGAAAAGAAGACGCTTCTTCCTACCTTTGCCCATAGGTCCTAATCCAGGTCAAAGAGAACCAATCAATCTCATTGAAAACTAATTGATCAAGACATGCATAAAACTTCCTGCAACTCAGGTTTTCAAGACAGAAGAGGTTTCTTTACTCCTCAAAGACAAATGTAATTCCTCCATCACAAAGGTGTGGAATTTCTAAACATGCTTATGTTGCACATGCAGGCAACCAAGAGGCGGAGCACCTCAATGCCCTCAGATGAAAATAAACATTCATAGAAACTGGGCTGGTGTTAAGAAACCTTGGCCTCAAAACCCCAAACTTTTCTCATGTGAAACTGGCAATAAAGTGTGGTGAAGGCCAAGAGTCATGACTCATACAAAAGCTTTCACTGACAAGAAGACAAACTTTGAGAAGAGACAAAAATCAAATAATGGATTCATTTGCCATATCAATGACACATTAAATGGCAAAAAGAAAATATACTGGGTCACTGAAATAACTTTTCCCAGTTTAAAAAATCTATTTGGATTTTTTTCAGTCGTGCACTGTGTTTTTCCCATAATGTTCCTTACCATGTAGATCACAATACTGTCATCCTAATAAAACCAAAAACAACATTAAAACTCTGAAACAGATCATTTCCTTCACAAAAAGAAAAAGAAAAAGAAATTGCAAACCATTACCTTTACCTTTTAATTTCTCTAAACACCAAGTTTATAAGCTTTTACCCTCTTCAGAATCTTCAAACTTCAACAATGACATCAATCTCCAAGACCCTTAAGCTAGACACAACACTGGATACAATGAAAATATCCAGTTTTCTTAACAAGTGCTCAGGTAACATGTGCTCACTCTGTGCCAGACAACTGCTACACCTATCAGTGCTGTGTGCGGACCGAACTACAAGTGCAAAGTCTAACCAAGTGTCAAGTTCTTTTTTCCAAAAATTTTCTATTAAATAAATAGTAGACCAACTACTAGCTTTTTTGAGGAATAGTAAGAATGAAAAAATGGATGAATAAATAAATTAAAAAACGAGTACTAAGAAGAGAATTTCATAATCTTTTAAAAATTACAAAATCAGAGGTGACATCTTTGGTTGACTGTAAAAGAAAATTCTGAAAAAATAAAATTTTCATCTACATCACCTGTATATATAATCAAATCAATACCAAACCAAACAACTGAATAGTTTAAGAACAGAAAATGCAAATGATAATGACACATTATTAAAAGAAAAGAAAATAACAAAACAGTGACTTTAGAATAAAAAGGTGCCTTGGTGCAGCTTTTGTAAATCAATAAAAAAAAACATCTGCTACACTCTTTAAGCCTAAGAGAAGAATCCAACTTCACTGTTCCAAGTTACCAAAATGATGCAATCCTAAAAAACAAACAACACTTGACAACTGTGCGACACAAAAGACCAAGGAAGAAGTCTTGAAGATTGGCTAGGATTAAGAGAGCTGATGCGGCAACCACGCAGAGTGGTGGACATTTACCATGCATATTCATAGATACATGTAGCTATACCATACATTCCTAATGACTGCTTAAAAATGTGCCTTACCAAATCCTCTGCACCTGTCTGTAAGTATGTAATTAAATGAACTATAACATCTCACATATGGCAATGGGAAACAACTTATGCTAAAACACTGGTGCATTTCACAAACTTTAGAAATTTGATGCGAACACATTAAGTACCTATACATATATGTTAAATCTATCTTTCTTTTTGCAATTTGTGAAATGCATTCCAGCCTATATCAATGATACACTTTATATATCTTTTTTATATTTTTTTCTTACACACATATCAACTGTGTATTCAACTGACACAGATGACTACACAAGAAACTTCCACAGTGCCTTCCAATGCAGAATCCCACAAAAATATATGGAAATGACCTAGTTCTTTTCCCTCTTCTTGCAATGTTTGAAAACTAATCAGATAAATGCATTATCTCCAGTTCTGCTAATCATTCAACAACCTTATACTTTATGTAAAGTATGTGCCACATTTGATCTAACTTTTCCCCTAAAAAGTGGCCCAAAAGATCATCCTCTGTCTTATATAAATAGGTGGGGCCAATTATACTTATGCCCTGCTTAAATAGGGGTGCATCTAATATACATGTAAATAAAAAAAGTTTCAAATGCCATAACAAGAAGTAAAAGTGAATGAATCTAGCCCAAATACAAGCCAACACCAGTGCATGGGCTAATGAGTGGGAGTTGACACACCAGCTTAGTATTCCACCAGCAATTTTATTCTTTAATATCAATATATAATTGAAATGTCTAAAAATACTGAGAGAGCTAAAGGGATGAAGGAATTTACTATATTCACAGAATTAAAGGAGAATAGCTAATAGAAAAAAAATAAAAACCTTTCATATGATAAAAAAAAACATAAAAAGCCTTAGGGAAAGACATCAATATTTCTGATCATTACAGGTCATATTTCTCCCACAAGCTGAACAACTTAACACTCCTTGGAACTGTCGGGGAGAACTGACCTCAGCTTGCATAAAACTGCAAACTGTTTAGGACAAGTCACATAAATCAACGTAAACTTGATATTTCAAAATCAATTCTCAAAAGGCAATCCCTATATCCTTTTGATTATCACAATCCTATTACAAAAAATCCTTGCTTACAAAATATCTGTAAAGATATTTATCCGGCTGAATCATCCTGGAGAAAAAGTGGCAAAAAATGAAGGTTATACACACTATCTAAGAACACAAGAAGAGACAGAATATTATAATTACCACTTGAAATCCTCTAAACCCTCTACCTTTCTACATTCCCCAGTAAACACAATAAAAGCTAAGCATTTTTCCTTCTGCTAAAGATTTCTTTGGAATAGTCTATGTACCTGAGATAAAATTTATATGTAGGTCTATAGCGAAAAAAAAATGTATACAAAGCAACAAATACAAAAAGCTTATTGAACTGTAAACAATCATGGCATTTCTCTATGAGAGAAAATAACACTTTAATGTCACTAAGGAGTATAATTTACCTTCTTCCTATCACTAACAACAAAGATTTGAATGCATAGTTTGTTTGGGAAGTTCAGACACAGAGGCTAGACTGATACAAATTGACATGAATACACATGTAAATGTGGATACAATAATACTATCTCATCCTCATACTTACATGTCCATAGAAATACCATGAACAATAAGAAATATACTTGTGTACGTCTGAAAATACATACACAATAATATCGATATCTCACAATAGCACACATGTATTTATAAATGATATTAAGAAAACACCCAAATACAATGATGGCCTCCATATCTAACGTCTACAACAAACCTAAGATAATTAAAAACTAGTAAAGTACAACTTGTTAAATAAAAACGAACTACCAATCCCCCTAAATAAATTAATCAACAAATGAAAAATAAAGATAACCCCCAAACATGTACATCCACAGTCCACTTACATTTAGATTATGATAGTCCCCAGTTTCATCTGGAGGTCGAGGTTTGCATTTGCCGCAGCAGAAGTTGAAGCAGCAGCAGAAGCAACAGCACAGATAGCAACCTGTGATCAGGCCACAGAAGAGGAAGAGTGCCTGAAAAAATGAAAAGGACAAAAATTACGTTCATGAAGTCAAATGGACTGTCTATGTAATAGTTTCTGGATTTGTTATAGTGAGGCAGTTTATCAAGAGAGGGACTGGGGGAACAGAAGGAGAAGAAAAAGACTTGGATGAAAGAGAGGGCAGGGGGAGGGGAAGGGTGGAAAAGGGAGGGGAAGAGGAAGAGGAGGGAGAGGGAGAGGGAGAGGGAGGAGAAGAGGAGGAGAGGAGGAGGAGAGAGGGAGGAGGAGAGAGGAGGCGAGGAGAGGGGAGAGGGAGGAGGGGAGGAGGGGAGGAGGAGGATGGAGCGAGGGAGGGAGAGAGAGAGAAGAGGAGAGATAGAGAGAGAGAGAGAGAGAGAGAGAAGAGAGAGAGAGGAGAGAGGAGAGAGAGAGAGAAGAGAGGAGGGAGAGAGGGAGAGAGAGAGAAGAGAGAGAGAAGAGAGAGAGAGAGAGAGAGAGAGACGAAGAGAGGAGAGAGAGAGAGAGAGAGAGAGAGAGAGAGAGAGAGGGAGAGGGAGAGAGAGAGAGAGAGAGAGAGAGAGAGAGAGAGAGAGAGAGAGAGAGGAGGAGAAGAGAGAGAGGAGAGGAGAGGAGTGAGAAGATGGAGGGGAGGAGACGAGAGTGAGGAGGAGGCGGAGGGTGAGTGAGGAGACGTGAGGAGGAGGTGAGGAGAGGAGGGTGAGAGACGGAGGGTGAGGAGACGGAGGAGGAGGGAGGTGAGGAGAGGAGGGTGAGGAGAGGGAGGAGGGAGGAGAGGGAGGTGAGGAGAGGGGGAGAGAGGAGGGTGAGAGAGGAGGGTGAGGAGGAGGAGGAGAGGAGGGTGAGGAAGAGGAGGAGAGGGTGAGGAGAGGGAGGGTGAGAGAGGGAGGAGAGAGGAGAGAGGAGGGTGAGGAGAGGGAGGGTGAGGAGAGGGTGAGAGAGGGAGGTGAGGAGAGGTGAGGAGAGGGAGGGAGGAGGGAGAGAGCAGGGAGGGGAGGGTGAGAGAGGGAGAGAGAGAGAGAATACCACATAATGCACTGGAATAGAGCCTTACCTTGCACCAACCAGAGTTCACTAAGAAATATGTATTGACATTTTCTTCGCCAAACTGTTCGGCAATATAAAGGCCAAGTGAACCATAGTTGTCGTATATGTTCCTCTTTGTAGCATCGCTGAGAATACCATGGGCATGGTTGATTTCCTTAAACTGCAATTAGATAAAATGATATTACTTTTAACGATTCCTTACAAAAAGATCCCGCACAAGAAAATAAACGGAATGATCAGACATATAAATACCAAAAACGCACAAACATACTAGAGATTTATTCTTCTATAAGCAATGACTTTTCCCCTCTTATAAGACACTGATCCAACAAATGACACACTGGTCATCACTCCCACTACATACACTGTAGACAAAACGCTCATGAGAGAGCCAACCCTATGGATAATAACGGTAAATCTATTAGGCTTGGAGTCTATGTCTTATCTCTGTTGCTCCCTACACAGAGAAATCCTACAACACATTCAAGGTTAAAAATCAAGCGGGTCGTTTGTGCGGCTTCAGGTATTGCAGCTTTGCTTAAAAATTTCTTCACCATTAGGTTAATAAATAAATAAAAATAACAATGCTAAATATATAATCACATTATAAATAACATAATTTATATACATGAATAAATAATAATTTGTATATACATGCAATATACATACATCACATATATATATATATATATATATATATATATATATATATATATATATATATATATATATATATATATATATATATATATATATATATATATACATATATATATATATATATATATATATATATATATATATATATATATATATATATATATATATATATATATATAATATATATATATATATATATATATATATATATATATATATATATATATATATATATATATATATATATATATATATATATATATATATATATATATATATATATATATATATATATATATATATATATATATAATATATATATTATATATATATATACACATGTATATGTATGTATGTATATTCCATGTATATACAAATTATAATGAGGGTCTGATTTGCTACTGCCCTTAAAAAAAAGGATATGAATAATATCCTAGTGGGGGAGAGGAGAGGCACCCAAAATAATTTCCAGGTTTCGAAAAGGGGGGAATTTCCACTGTCCATACCTTTTCTGCAGCTTCGGGATTATTGGGGTTCTTGTCAGGGTGATATTTAAGTGCTAATTTGCGGTATGTCTTCTTGATCTCATCTGTCGTAGCTTGCTTCTGCAGCCCTAGTGTCTCATATAATGAGTCACCCGTCGTCCTGGAAGAAAATGAAAAAGTTTTCATTTTGTTATCTATTTATCTTTTCTTCTGATCAATATTTGCTTTATCAGTCCTTTAACAGGTAATATCATTTATATTGAAATTCTTACTTTCCAATAATCTATCGTAATTCAAGTAAATATGTTTCAATACAATATATCTTGATCATTCTCCAAATAAGGAAGAGATGCATACATATACAGTAACACTTATACAGCTGTTGGTAGCAAGCCTGGCACCTTTGTTATGCAGAGCAGTCATGTTTACAAGAAAGCAATTAACAGGTATTATATACTTGATACTTGCAAATTTTCCACACTTATTGCATGCATAAACACAACACACTGGACACACATGTATTTCCATTATCACTGTTGATACTGGGCTTCAAACCCAAGTTATCCTCTTTCATTCTGTGCAAAGATCCATCTAATTAAGCCCCTCGTTGCCTTCCTTTGTCCTTTAGAGTCACATCTTGCAATAAGCTGACTATACTTAGCACCATTATATATATTTGCCTGTTGTTGCTAATGCCGCCTCTCATATTCAGAGAAAAATGTTAACTAATAAATATTTCAAGTCACTCAATATCAAGAAAAACTGGAAGCTTTTAAACTTTATCAAATACTCTGCTACACTGATTTAAAACTTTTCAAAATATGGCACATTCACACATAAACACTCCTTCATTAAATGACTTTTTGAACTGATCTTTGTTTATAAGCATTGTCATTTTCTGTAAAACTGACTCTATATGTACACAGACTCTGAATGGCTTTAAATTACGAAAATAACAAGTTCACTACACTAGGCTAATGTCTATGATGTATTGCTAATTCATTATCATACCACATCTGTCATATTAATGATTCTGATAACAAAGAAAAAGGCAAAACGCAATATACAACTGTCTATTATCCCTGTGATGTCTACATACAGTGTATAATACTGAATAAATACTCAACCTTTTCCATCATTTGGCAGCATGCTGAATGTTCTGAATGTCAATCAGCACCTGACAGCAGATCTCTAACATTCTTGCCACATTCTTGTCACTTAGTAATAAATATATGTATTCATAAAAACATATATCTTATTATAATACAATACACCAAAGCAATTCTTTCCAAAAGTTCTTCCTTGCCACAAATAGCAAAACAATAACAAGCCTTTCCTCCAGTCTTAAAAATAAAAACATATCTAAAAACAAAATCTTACAATGAACCTAAAACACACAATAACAACATCAACAAGAAGAGCATCCTTGACAGCTACCTAATAACCCCCAGAGATTTATTTCCACATATCTTATTCATATAACTATCATGCATCTGATGTGTCCTTGCTAAACTTCCTTCCTTGCCTCCTCCTCCTATTACACAACTAAACTGGTGAGAATACTTATGGCTTCATTGTACACACCCAGGTTACACCACCTCGCAGCAGAGACGGTGCACACAGTGGTACAATAGCAACACATATCTATCCCCTTCTTGTGACTAAATTCAATAATGAAGTCTTTCCTTATCAATCAGAGTACCTACAAAAGCCACTTCCTGAACAAAAAAAGCAAAAGAAATTGTAGTAGCTTGTTGCAATCAACAAATTGAATTATAAAGAGCAAACAACCCACCCGGTACTTTTCAATATACTCAGCATCTGATTGCAATGAGATTCAAGATCTGGTATCACCATCCACTCAATCTCTACAGGTGCATATTGCAAAACATCAAAATGACATGTACTTTTTACTTCTTTAATGAATGATATATCATTTCTATAGTTTTTGCTCATAAAATTCTTTCATATGGTAAAATGCTAGAAAACAAACAAAAATGCTAATACTGTCAAACAAGCAAAAACATTTTAATAAAAGATACAATTGAACTGATCCTGGTTTTATATCAAATACCCTGAAAGGCTATTGGCTTTGCCAGTACTAGAAAAAACAATTCAAGTAAACACCCACACACTTGTATTATAGATGTAAATAAAAAATATGCATATATGGCAAATTATTCAAACAAATATTTATGCAATCAAATACAATCCCTCAAATATTACACATACACAACTAATATGAATGGATAAGATGCATATACGTGTGCATTAGTAATTATTTACCCAAAAATAATTAACTGCACTACTCCTCCAAGTGATAACCAGAAAATACAATTCTATTCAGATAGAAAATTCTTTGTTAGAAATATTTTTTCTTAGTCTAATATATATATATATATATATATATATATATATATATATATATATATATATATATATATATTATATATATATACCTTTTTTTCTTTTATTTTATTAGATTTTTTATTTTTTTTCTCTCTCCCTGATTCAGAATGGTTTAAAGCCCAATTCATATGACCTTAAAAATTAAAAAAAAAACATGTTTGCATATCAAATTACAATGAAGCACAACTTTTTAGAGCCAATAACCAAGCAATAATAAAAAAGCTGGAAGTTACACGCAGTGCTATCACAAACACAAGAAAAAAAATAATATTAAAAAATTTTCCATTTACAATTCAGTCTTGAATACAATATAGAAGCAGATCCATGAACACACATCACTAGCACCTCCATCCAACATCATTGGTACGCCCTATCTCTACACATCACCGACACTCTACTTACGAATAGTTTTGCAGCAAGGGGTCAGTCTCCATTTTCCCTACATCAGTTCCCCTCGGCAAAGAACTACCTTCCTCTCTTCCTCCCTTTGCATTGCTTACTCAGAGGATGGAAGACTTGAAAGAAACATGAT